TGCTTAAAAACCATTTGAAACTGGTTTTCAGGAGGCATCTGGAAGGTTTTGGAGATCTTGGGTAGAGAAGTCTGATTTTGTATTCAGTGTGAGATGCACACATCATTTCCTTGGTCTGGATGGAAATGTTCACTTTTTCTGTCCACATTGTAGGTTCTTTGTATCTGTGTTTTAATGTCAGTGACTTTTGTGAGACTCAGGATTATCAGGTCATGACATGTGTGCCATGAAGACTGGTGGCAAAAAAGTAAACCGAAGCAAAATAATTGTGATTGAAAGTATGTTACAATTTCATGAAAAAGGCATAATGGAAATTTCAACAATGTGATATTTAAAATTCCATGCTAAAATGTCACACACCATTACCAATAATGCCTCGTGTGTCCATATTCAATTGACGATTTAAAACTCTTTCAGTAAGTACCACATACTATAATTCTGCATTACAGTTTATTACTCTTTTGCGTTGTTTAAAATGAAATATTTTTGTACAGCTAAATTATTTTGCTCTCTTTTAATAAAATGGCACATCATGGGCATTGTGAATTTAGAGCAGCATTAGCATTCTTTTAGTTATTTGGCAGAGAAATATATTTTGATTCTAGGACAAATTTGTGAAAACAAGGTATTGCTCGCTCAAATGAATTATGACATGAAAAAAATGACCATCCAATGTCATTTTCTGCCCCTTGTTGACACATTCTTGGCCTGTTTAGGTACATTGAGTTAATTTTCAAGATATGATACATGTAGTCTCGTGTTAAAACAGTACACACTGTGCTGAATTAATGACAGGTTGGAAAATGTGTTTTTTTCCCTAAATCCATGTTAGTGGATACTTTCTCTTGAAAAAAATCTATTATCTGTTTCTCTAACCACATTTTGGGTTCTCCATAAAGCACAACCTCTTTTTACATACATATATTTATATTTACGTTATGTTATTGCATGACTTTGTTGTGATTTTTTTAACTCATTTTATTTTTCTAAGACTTTCGTTACAAAATGAAGCAAAGTGAAGAAGTTAGAGAGGTTCCCTCATTTTCAGCTGTTACCCTCCCCACAGTGTGAGTTTCATCACCAACATAACTGATAATATGTGGGTTATACAGTGAGAAGTGAAAGAATATGTGCTTACATCCATTGATTTAAACATCAAAAAAGACTGGAGAATAAATAAAGCTAAAAGACATCTCAATTTTAAATTCATATTACTGCTTTGTAATTTTGAGAGGTCTGTGCCATTAGATATCATTCAGAGTGTCTAGAGGCAGATTAATTACACTTCAAAGAATTCTCTGAGCTTTCAGGTAAGGCAGTGTAACATTCCTCTTCCAAACCACCAGTGATGTTTAGTGCATACACCCTGTAAAAAAATACTACAGTATTTTGATTCTGTAACATCCAACCAAAAGTGGTAGGTGGTGGGAGTATAATAGCCCTGACACCTTAGTCATTGGAGAAGATTTTTACAGCTGTAAGTACATTTCCCAGTTCAGATGTTAGAAACCAGTGAAGTGTCCCTGTACCTCTGAGAGTGGTTCAGAAATCAGTACTGTCTACTCACCTCTCCTGTGGAATCGCCCCACACTCCCCATGTGCTCTTGCATGACTATGTAAGATTAATTTACGGGTTTCTTTCTCCTCTAAGGCTCTCCCCAAGGAGAGGGGCTGCAATTTGTTCATTATTCCCAAGCATCAGAATGTTTCACACAAAGTCAATGAGGTATCTGCTAATTACACAGTAGTCCTTTATGTTCTCACATAAGTAAATGTGTTAGATACCTTACCCTAGCTTTTTAGGTTAAATCTTCTCTACTAAAATCCAGAGATTTGGAATCAAAATATTGTATTGAGTAAAACGTTAATAGTATAAAAATGATAGTGTTTTTTGGTGTTTTGAGGGGTAAGAAATACTTTAATACTGGTTAAAGCATTGTTTTAGAGTCTTGTAAGGTAAAATGATAGATATATACAAAGTCTGCCAAAAAATGTGTACATGATTCACAAAAAGAAAAATAGTATGATGTTGTTTTCAACAGTGTTACTTTCACATGGGAGATGCTAGAGGGTGTTGTATATCATAGAAAACCCACTAACCTGCCTCCCCTTAGAGAAGAAATTTAAGATGTGTGTGCAAAAATCTCAATGACCAAGCAGCAGTTCACTGTACTAATAAATGTCTGGAAGCTCATAGACACCACTTTGAGCAGATCTT